GTTAGATCAGAGTAACAGGGACCATTGCCCCCTGGGGCTAGTGTACTTTGTATGCCTACAGATGTCCCCACAACAGGTTGTGTCATTTGTTTGGGTGCACTTCCTGGTCCTGTTATTTGGGCCTGTAACTGTTGCATTTGCTCCAACATAGCAGCCATTTCCCGTTCTTTTCTCTGAAGTTGTTCTTGTAGGGCCACCACTTTTTCCTTGAGACCTTGGTCTTGTTGGACCTGCGAATTTTCACCTTCTTTCTCAACCTCAGTCATCATAACCGCGACTTTGTTGATATCTTTCAATTCATTGTTTCCAATATTTGTTGAAACAAACGAGATATAATCATCTTGTTCGTATAAAGGATTATCAACCTCCACAACATTACTCATATTTGAAGCATCTGATGCTTTGTTTTGAGCCTGACGGGTTATGGACCTTGTCACAGGCCCTTTTCTTATTCCCTCCATAGATAGTTCAACCAAAGTAGAAATATTTCCCAAGGGTTGCTTACCCTCCTCCACCTTAGATTTTCCAACAAAGACAGGACTTTCAATTTGTTTTTGGGGTTCATCTTTCGAGAGAGCCCTTTCAATAGCTCCTATAACATTTGTTGCCACTATTCTTAGTTCCAGTTTCTTTAAGGCCTTATTTCTTCTTCGCCTTTGTCTTTTCGAAACTGGACCGGATGACATATCAAGTCGAGCCCCTAAGGGCATAGAAGGAACCGTTTGTGCCTTTGTAAATTCCTCGTGAATTTTCAAAACAGTCCCTACATTTTTAGAGCTGGTCAATTGATGTTGATTCAAATCCCGTCGGGCCAACAGGTGTTCCTTATCCGAAGCTTGTCGGGCCAACGGGTGTTCCTTATTCTGTCGGGCCAACGGGTGTTTCTCATTCGAACCCTGTCGAGCCAACGAGTGTTCCTTATTCTGTTGGGCCAACGGGTGTTCCTTATTTGAACCCTGTCAAGCCAACGGGTGTTCCTTATTCAAACCTTGTCGAGCCAACGAGTGTTCCTTTGGCTCTTGAGAGTTGACTGAGATTTGGTTTGACCGATTTTGTGCTCTGAACAGAACTATCGGTTCGTAGGCAGCAACTGTTTTTTCAACAACAGGGGCCTTTTTTCCATCAACAGGAGTTTGGGTCATTACCCTCCTCCCAATGGCCCTAATGATGGCCATGTTTTCAACAGAAGCTTTCTTCTGGGCAAACTCCACCATTTTAATGGAGTCTTCTACCCTTTTGAGTAGTTGGGCCATAACATTTTTTGTTGCCCCCCTTGAAGCTGCAACAAAAGTCGCAGTTGCAAACTGATTAGCCTCCTTTGCCTGAATTAGAAAGTTCTTCGTTCGGGCTGTGGCCCTCACAATTGCATACTGCTTTGACGCTTTCACATAATCTTCATTAATCTTTCTCAAACTTTCAGCTTTCTGGAGAAGTGTGACTTTCTTCATCACACCAGTTACCTTCGGGACAGCCAAGAGCTTTCGCTCCGGAGCCCCTTGGGTGGCAGGGGAAAGAAGTGCATCTTTCCAGGATTTCGTTGACTCTACCTTTGGGACAGCCAAGAGCATTCGCTCCGGAGCCCCTTGGGTGATGGGTGCCATCTCCACCCTTGGTGATTTCAGAACCAATGGAGTGTAGATTTGTCTCTTGACAATTGCTTCAGCATTCCTATAACAAAAGAATACGTCAGTAAGTTTCAACTATATATATATATAAAGGGTTCCAAACCCAAACTGTATTTTGTATTCGAGGGTTCAAAACCCATAACAATCTTAATAAAATATTTCTTTTTTTTAAATTGTCTTTTGTTGTTTAGTGTTGATTATTTGAATAGCAGGTTCTTATTTCCGATCTGTATTTCAGATCGTTAATTACACATTTTATACAAATGAAACCTCCGATTAATGAAGAACAAAATAAACAACAAATGACAAATTAAAAAAAAAGAAATATTTTATTGAGATTGTTATGGGTTTTGAACCCTCGAATACAAAATACAGTTTGGGTTTGGAACCCTTTACCTATTCATCGCCATTAGCGTAGGCTCTTCAGTTCTCTAGGCTTCTCTTCTTCTTTTTTTTGTAATGACTTCTTTAGCTCTCAATTTCTTTCTCTCTCTCTCTCTGATCTTTTCCCTTTTGGTTTTCCAATCCCCGGTCTTGTGTGATGGTCCTCATATTTATGGAGGGCCATCAGGTGATAGGAACGCTTCATCTTCATTTTGAATTTCAAATTGAATGATATGATAACGCCATTTAAATAATAGCGTTATCTGATTAATCGTATATCTGATTAACCGAATTGATCTTTGGGGTTTCATCCTGTGTGGTGTCTTTGCTGTAGGCTCTACAGGTGTCATCTTTCGTAGGCTCCACGTGTCACTTGAGCATCTTGAATAACGTCGTTAAGATACGACGTTGTTAAGCATAAAGATATTATCTCTACCTTCCCACATCTAAACAAAAATTTGAAACTGAATTTGGGGATACAACATGTAGGCAACATATTAAATGACATCTTAGATTGACATAAATTTTAAAAAAAATGTCAGTAACCTGCATAGCATATCTTCTTCTTCTTCTTCTTTTTCTTTTTCTTTTTCTTTTTCTTTTTCTTTTTTTTTTTTTCTTTTTTTTTTTTTTTTTTTTTGATAAATAAACAAACTCTATTAGAAAAACATCAAGATGATGCAAAGAATACAAAAATCAAGCCTATCAACAACCCAAAAATCTAACTAATCAATTCCTCAACAAAATCTATAAAAGCCAACACATCCGGATCAACCATAACCGTGACCCAACCAGTGTTGTTAAAAGCGCGCCTAGGCGCAATGCGCATCGAGGCGCAGCCTGTGCGCCTGAACTGGTCCCAGGCGAGGCGCTTTGCAGAAGTCGCACGCCTTAGGCGCGACTTGAAGCATGCGAGAGAGGCGCAAGGCTTGCGCCTAGGCGTGACTGATGTTTACGCCCTAATTTTTGATCTAACGGCTGTGGTGTGTGTTCGGAATGGCTCTAACCACAGAGGATTACAACTTATATACACAACCCCAATACGACTGAAACGAAAACCCTAATCTGTGTCGTCTCTTCATCTCTCGACTTCGACTTGGACTAGGCTACAACTTCGACTTCGACTTCCAGGTGCGCTACGACTTCCAAGTGTGTGTTCGAATCCCTAATCTGCGCCATCTATTTTTTTTTTTTTTTTTGATCATGATTTTATCCCAAACTGAATCAATCCAGACTATGCTCACCCTTACTCATTTGGGAGAAATTTTAGAAAGCATGAATTAATTGTATAAATTGAAAGTTGATAGAACTTTATGGTAATTTCGAAGGAAAAATGATTCTCGTTGTTTTTGTTGTTGTTGTCGTCGTCTTTTTTTTTTTTTTTTTTTTTTTCAATTATTTATGCCTTTGAGTCTATGTTAAAAACAAAAAATATAAAACAAAATAAATAGAAATACAAAATAAGACTTATCTTATTGATTGATTAACTAAAAAAACACACTAAATTTTTTTTTACAAATAATTAATTAACACACTGCTATTGGTCTCTGTTTTTTTTACATTGCATTATTTTCTAAATTGAAATATTACATTACATTAATTATTTTTTAAATTGACACATTACATTACATTATTTTCCATTACATTACATTACACGAAGTGTAATTTTCCATTACATTATTTTCCATTACATTGTATTAATTAATTTTCCATTAATTAATACACTATGCTAATGTGTAATTTTCCATTACACATTATTTTCCATTACATTACACAATTAATCACACTTACATGACACTGAAATTATTTTCCTTTTATTAAATTTGTTGTGTAGAAAATGACATCATCGGAAAGTAATAAAAAAGATCCGGCATGGCAACATGCCCATTTGGTAGAGGAGAATAATTTAAACAAGCTTGAGTGTAATTTTTGTGGTAAAGTATCAAATGGAGGTGTTTATCGGGTGAAACAACACCTCGCGGGAGGTTATAGGAATGTCACTGCTTGCCCGAAGTGTCCAGCTCATGTAAGAGAAGAGATTAGAGAGTTCATGTCAAAAAAGAAGACACAAAAAGAAGAAATGAACATGTTGCCTGATTTTGATGACATGGACATGGGAGATGAAAATGAAGATGAAGATGTTGTTGAGATCAATGTCAATCAACGTAGTAAGTTGACAAGTAGCGGCCAAGGTTCATCCAAATCCAAAACCAACTTAAAAATGCCAAAGAGAAAAGGGCCTATGAATGTTTACTTCACACCCAATCCTAAATCAGTAGTGAAAAATCGAAGAGACCAAGCAAAAGGGAAGCAAACCAAAATTGGTGCGAATGACCCTTACAAAAAAGAAATGAGAGCTCGAGCAGTGCAAAGATTTGCAAGGTGGATGTATGATGCTGGTATTCCTTTTAATGCAGTAAATTATGAGAGTTTTGGACCAATGATTGAAGCCATTGGGCAATATGGTCCCGATATGAAGCCACCAACTTACCATGAAATGCGGGTTACCCAACTCAAAAAAGAGGTGAAACATACTGAAGATTTGATGAAGAATCATATAGAAGATTGTGCAAAATACGAGTGTTCCATAATGGCTAATGGCCGGACTGACAAGAGAGAAAGGACATTGATTAACTTTTTAGTTAATTGTCCAAGAGGAACCATGTTTGTTGAGTCAGTTGATGCTTCTAGCTATTCAAAGGATGAGCAGAAGCTATTTGAATTACTAGACAAATTTGTGGAGAAAGTTGGAAAAGAAAATTTTTCTATTTTTTACTAAGACTGTGCGCCTTACTTCAATAAAGCTCGCGCCTCGCCTTGCGCCTAGGCTCCGAGAGACCTTCAGCGCCTTAGTGCACCTTGAGCTTTTAAAAACACTGGACCCAACTATGCAGCACTGTGCGCAGCCGCCGCTCCAGCCACGGAACCAAGCAAGACACCCCCTGAAAAATGCGCCTATTCCGCTCTAACCAAATCAACCACATCAAGCAATGACCCACAAGCATCCACCCCTTTCGGCACCTCTTCCTAACCCTCCCCCCAGCCCAACTTTGCAACACCACCAACACCTAACCCAGCGAAACCCACACCAAACCAAAAGTAGCAACAATGAGCATCCAAAGACGACAAGCTACCGGACAATGAACAAGCAAATGATCCACCGACCTCGCATCCCCACAACACATGCAGCACCAATTAACTAAAATGTGCCAACACTGAATCAAATTATCAATAGTCAGAATTCGCCCTAAAGCCGCTGTCCACACAAAGAAAGCAACTTTGGACAGACTCCCCACCGCCCAAACACTCTTCCATAGAATATCTTATATGAGTATGAGAACATGAAATTATTAGCATATAGGAATCAGACACTTTTTGAAATATGAAATTTTTCTCTTTTCCATTCTCACACTCGTATTTGCTAAATGAGTTTTAAAATCCGAAATTGTGTGAAATTTGAGGGAGGGAGTGAAAACTTGTTTTCAAAACAAAATAAAACACCCTTTTTCGGAGGTTTGAAAATTTTGAAAATAAAAGCAATCATCGTGCTTTGTTTTCAATTTCCAAAAATTTTGAAAATGAAAATAGAAAAGAAGCAACTGAAAATGCTACTGAACGAGGCCTTAGTGATTGACTCATACAAAAACATTTCCTCAAACATTTTCATGACAAAATTGTACTCTCAAGATGCTTCTTTTTACAATGGACTGGAATTCAATGCTATGGTAATCATAATATTGAGAAACAAGTATACTCCCAGTTATTCAAATTCCAATAACAAGTTTGATATTACTTCAAATGGCTAAGGAAAAACGGAGAAACATGGTAGAAAACTTACTTCAAGTATTACTTTCCCAGATGCAGAAAACATTTCACCAGCAATGTCAATTTCAACTGTAGTTTCAGCTCCTACAGCTGGTTTGGAAACACAGGCCAGGAAATGGCGAACAAACAGCTCATACAATCTCTGTTATAGAGAAACAAATTTCATACGGTTATCCGAGTGATTAATTCCAATATTGCTAAGTTCCATAATAACTGTACTTACATGGTGATCCTGACTCCATCCAGATTGTCCACCAGAAAACTTTGTCGGGTGGATTGGAGGATGGGCTTTGTCATCATCCATTACCAGCGTTCCTCCAAAGTCCTTCTCCAGGGTCCAATAAGCGTTGAGCATATGAACCCCATATAGGATGCCCCCCCTGTTCTTGCACAATTGCCTACAACAAATCAAGAGAACAGAAGTCCTTAACACAGCAAAAGCAGCCAATGCAATCATACAAGAGGTATTATCCAACATGAAATAAACTTAAAGGGTATATTAGCAACTCATAAACTTAAAATCCATATATCCCTCAAAATCTAGATTTTCGTCCACCTTTTTATCCATAAAACCCACAGGCTGTCCAAAATTTTAGCCCACCAGATAATTAACTGCAGACAGAATGACTCTTGCTTTTAGTTTTAGTATACTACGCCATCCATAACAGTGGTGTTTCACCTATAGCATCTACCAACTAAAAAAATAATTCTCTGAGAAAGGAAAGAAGTGCATCCAATCGTTTTCTCTGTCCATTGCTGATGACAAGAAAGAGAATCCAAGTGACAAGTGTCATTTGAAGAAAGATGAAAAGGAGAAATGCCACAAGAAAGAACAAAATATATCCGGTTACAAACACAAAGTATTCTCGAAATCAGAGAAATCAGCTTCCTTACTACTCAAGCCTAGCATTTCATGCATAAGGTGAGAATTCCAGAGGCCATGAAATCTAAACTTAACCAGGTTAGCATGACTTATTACTTTTATCAGGAACCCACCATTTGTGCTATAGTTTGAATCAAGCCAGACTATGCATGGATCCTTTAAAAGAACATTATGCAGGATTGCTCCCTATTAACACAGGACGTTAGAAGTGGAAAGACTGGAGCAAACCTGATCTTTGGTATTATTTGCTCAAAGTGGCTGCTCTCAAACTCACCCATGTTCTCATGCTTAGAAGCTCTCGCTTCTACCATTGCACCAAACAATGCCCCTATGCATGGAACTGCTCTCTTATGTTTTTTTATTTATTTTACCCTTTTGTTTTCTTTCATTCTTCTCACCCTCATCTCTCACTCTAATCCAATGCTTTGGCACCTCTTCATTCTTCTTTCTGAAAAATAGATAACAAAAAAGACTAGATAGGTGCAATCTCAAATAATAATTTTTTTTTTCTTGAATGATAACAATACATTAAATTCACTCAAACTGCTAATTGTAAATAATTTCACAGTTAGTATCTGATTTATGGAGTGAGAAAATGGGAGCGAATGAGCTTTTTGTGAAAATATCTTGAGCATGGAAGCACCTCCAAAGCATGCATATGCATATAAAAATACATGTACATGTAACCTATGAAGCACGGACACGGACACGGACACGGACACGCATACGGACACGGACACGGACACGGACACGGGACACGGCAATTTCTAAAAAATGAGGACACGGACACGGCAGGGGACACGGCAAATTTTTTAATTTTTTTATAATTATTTTTATTTTAATGCACATTAATTATTTTATTTATTTATTATATTTTTTAAATAATGTGTTGGTTTCATTATGTTTTCCCCTAATTGGAGGGTAATCTTCTTTGTGTGCCACTCATCATAACAAATACACATAGCAGGCAACTATCAATCGAAAACACGATTCACATTCGATCTGTGCAGTTGACAATGATAATCTAAGAATTTGACTGGTTTAGGCTCCCAACTCAGCAATCTGCAAATTGGAGCCCAGTCCGTCTGCCTAAGTTGACATAAATTCCACGTTGAGCATTTATAATTTCTATATAGCCAGGAAGTTAGTCATAGTTGTCAATGAACAAATGAAGTTACTCACACGCAAATCAGTCCTCTCTGAAAAGCTGTCAGTCTCTGTACGAGGATAACTGATGAAACCAGTTTGGTAAAGGTCTTCTGCCACCTACCAAAATCAATAAAAGAATCAATAATTTATGTAGTTAATAATATTAAAAATACCAGTTTCTAGAAGAAAAAAAGGAAAACCAAAATTCTAAGAGGAATAGTTTAGCCAACATCTTGAAATGGTATGACAGATTTAATGAGATATCCACCCCTAAAACCATCTGAACGCAAAGGAATTCCAACAAGGCAATAACGGTCACAATACATGACAAAGTGAATAATTTATAGAGACCTTGGTGATACTTTTGAGGGCGGTGAAGTGGCTTCCAGAATGAAAAAATCAGGATAGATCCAATGAATTTACACGAGCAACAAAAAGGAACAAATCAGCAAGGAAAAGCAAACACATAATCATGACATATAGCAGCCCTAAAATATTTTGATATCCACACCCACTGCAATCCACGTGCACATGCCTACTGTCAATCTGACATCGCAAGAATATAGAGAAATAGTGCCAAATGATAACTAAAGAGAGCCAGCTATGACAACTGTTTGATGTGCAACAACAAAAAATATGGCGACATTAGAAATATATTGAATGCTAAACCTTGAATAAAACGGATTTACAGACAACAAGCAAAACAGGTGAGTGCAAGAAGAAAAAATTAAGGATTTTGATTGTCAACATCTAAAAATATGTAGTTTCAAAAACCAAAAAGAAAAAGGATATAAAGCAACAACCAACGTCTTGGAAAAAATAAAAAAATTGATAATGAGAAGAGATAATCGAAGGAGAAGAGAAAAGAAACAAATTTCCCTGGATAGTACTTCAAAAGCATTCGAAGGATGAATTCAAGAGCCAAAAACTTGTGCCCTAAACCTAATGCTTTTTGTTTAAAAATATAGAAACATCAACAGGCAAACTTCATTACTTTGAATGACAATGTCCAAGCATAAGTCCAAGCTTAAAAACATCCAAAAATAAATAAAATGATTTTGGCCTTCTTGATATATACATGTAATGAATTAGAATTCAAGGAATCAGTTTAATAAAGTGAAGATAATATTAAGAAACAGCCAGAAATCTGATGAAGCATCATTGCTGAGCTCCTACAACTGACCTTCATGGTTTGTTCGGAACTCATCCGGAAGTAGCGAGATGCACGTTTCTCAAGCTCAATAGTATTTAAAGGATGAGGAGGATACTTCAGTTTCTCCTGCTGTCTAACTTTTGTAACCTGAACAGAAATTATAACTGTGAATACCAAACTATGAAGATGAGATGCAGAAATGAAGTTGGTGTTAATATAATTCTCAAATAATTCAATTAATTGGCAATTGAAACCCATGTTAAGTAAATATGATGGTAAACTTATTTATCATTCACCTTTGCCATCATTATTTGTTTTCTTTCCTCTTAATTATAATTTAGGCCTGTTTGGTAGGGCTTATTTCTATCTTATTTCAGCTTTTAACTTAATTTAAGCTATCTTGATGTGTTTGGTTCAACTTAACAATACAGCTTATAGCTTTTTGTAAGTCAAAAATCAACTTATTCTTTGAGTGGGGGAGGAGAAGCTTAATTTATAAGTCAAAAATCAACTTATGTTCACAGCTATAAGTTATAAGCTGTTAGGCTATAAGTTATAATGACTTTCCCACAACTCTACCAAACGGGCCTTTATAACCAAATAACAAAATAACACCCAATTAGTACACATTAATGTGTGTTTGGAATGGGAAAGATTGGGTACACACCTAACTTTTAGCATAATACACAAAGTGATTGCCCCGCGACTTGAACCCATAACCTCAAGATTATTAGGCTAAGGTTTCACCATTGAAATGGTCACCCCTCTAATTATAACCAAATATTGCATATATTTTAACGAAACCTATTTAAGGTTTATTTTTGTAATTTCCCCAACCCATATATTTTTTCAGAAACAAAATCATGGTTCTACATTCCGGAGGAACCAAAATCATGGACCAGGTACATATGATATTCGATTTACTGTAGAAGTCTTTGATCGGCTGTTTAATATATAAGTTTGCCAGTCTTAAAGGTCAGATTACTAACCTAACTTTCTTTCTTAGGCCAAACATATCTTTATAGTTAGGTTTATCAACAAGCTTAGGTGCAGTTTGCTCGACTAGTCTCACTTTTCTATAATTAATAGAATGGCCTTCAATTGAAATCCTAATAACATTCATGATTATACTCGTATAGAGATCAGAAACCAGTATTAGTCATAAAAAATGACTCCATATCCACTCACAGTTGCAGTGGGTTCCTGAACACACATTTCGTATATTATTACAACGCAAGTATAATCAAACATATGCCCACGCCTGCAAAACCACATAGCAAGTTTAAAGCACCAACAACCAGATACGAAAAGTTGACATTGAATGCTGCAAAATCCTTAGCAATTTACATCTAATTGAATGTAGCAGTGCCTTCATCTGAATTGTGAGTGCAATTGATTGTCCAGAATTCTTCAGACTCGTGTGCTTGTATCTCCCAATACCGTTCCACAATAAAGCCTAGTGTAGGCTTTGGTCAATAAAAAATTAGAATGATCAAGCAACATCGTAGCACTTCCAGCTCTAAATTACAAAGTTAAAGATTAACGGCCTTACACATACTTATTGATTGACTATACTTAACATGCAAAATTAATGTTTAGAATTGTTGATGTAAATCATAGTATAAAACATGCAGCGGATAAAATGTTTAGATCATACCTTTTCAATGATAGAACCTCGTGGATAAATCACGTGCTTCCAGAGTCTGATAAACCAACCCAGCAGTGAAGTGATATTACAGATTGAATATCACCCACACAAATCACAGTGCAAATGACTTGATCGTTGTTTTTGGGAGAGAGTCAGTATATGGGTAGAAACAGATCATACGTTGTTTCTCTCTTAATCACCCATAAGAGTCATGTTTCCTTACTTTGGCTCAAATAAGGTTTGACCTAAAGTCTCCAAGACTTTTGCTCATCTAAAGAATGGGATTAGTTTGTTCACATTTGAACATCTCTACTAAGTCTAGGTCAACCAAATTAACTTCCATAAGCTAAATCAATTTAGAGAGAAATTCGCATTAGGA